ATCTTCCTGCTAACCTTTCACCCCCGCTCTTTTGACCAACGGAACAGGACTCTTTACGAAGATTTGTAGAAAACCCTACAATCCTTGGACATTCTTACAGTTGAATTTCTAGTTAGTAAGCACCGCCCATTCAGAGAGTACTCCTCCCACCGCGGGTCAGTGGTTGCAACATGGCAACACAAAGGTCACCTTGCACATTTTTCCCGGTCTTTGAGCGCTACTCTGGAACCGAAATTTCGCCCTCGGTACCGCCCATTTCAGTACATGTCCCGCACTTTCCAGGCCCCGCTTAGTGTGTGTGTTTTTGGACTCCATGGCCCATGGCCCACCCATCCAAACTTCACACCGGCTTTCCAAGTGGTCTTTTAGGTAATACCGAACGTCGGGACAAAATGACAAACAGAAAGATGACAGATTGTTGGCAACAAATGTAATAAGTCGTCCGGAAAGGGAAAGTTGCAGCGGTTACGTTTCTGAGTGTATCCATGATAGCATATTTGAGATATAATAATTGTTCAGTGAACGTCTATAATTCGTCCCAGAAAATCCTTCTCGCTATCCTTATATTTCGAATAGTGATCCAAGCCTAATAGGGAAAAGTAGACCATAATGCTTCCAGAGATGCACTTTGGTTCCTCATATGAAATTAACGCACACTATTTATTGCGCTTGCAGATCAAGAATGACTTCTGCAGCATTAACCCTGCATATTTCCAGAGAACTACTTGACCTAATTTTGAAGAAGCACTTTCAAATAGTACTCACCTTTTCATTGACGGGAGCAAATGCGATCGATTTGAACGAAATCATTCCTAGATCTGTCAAAAATGCAGGTAAGTCTCTAGTGTCAGAATAGTGAGTAACAATTCGGCATGAAGCAGTCAAATGGTTCAAAAGACCACAGGGAGAACCTAAAATTCTTTTAACTGGCACTCACCGTTTACAGCAATTTATGAAGTGTAAATAAAAGTGTAAGTCTATATTCCAAAACAATATTCAAAAAAAAACTGATCGAGAAGTTCTTGGATGGCTTTTGTTTGTTAGGTTCTATTTGAGAGCCACATTTCGCGTTGCAAAAGCTTCAGCAGAATCAGTGTGCGCAGTTCCAGAAAACGAAATTTAAGCTCTACACGCTTTTAATAATAAATGTGTGTCTGTATATGGTAATCAATTGCCAATCCAAATTTCAAAATTATATCATCCGAATGGAGATGGGACTGTATTTCAAGAATTACGCATCGAATGGAATGGAGATGTGTGGGCAAAAGGATCACTACCGCGCGTATGACCCTGGACCAAATGCGGCCCAGCGTGGACTAAACGTTATTCGTTCATTATTTGATTGAAAAACAGTAGAGGTATTTACCGTCAGGTGTGTGGACCGGGCAAATGAAGCCCCATGCTTCCGGGCGTAGTTTACGTACGTCCGTTGTTCGCATCTCAGTGAAAAATGCTCCTCTGTAATGCAATTAATTACGTTCAATCTAAGTAATTCAATCTGAAGGAGGAATGTTTACCTGTGAATAGCTCTGAAATGTGAAACAAAGCGAAGCTGATTTATCCTCTCAGCTATCACAGAGAATCCCGTTTCCTAAAAAGCGAATTGCTAGTGGACGGTTAGAACTCGCATGACAACGTTACACTAACTTCGACGGAAAGAATTAAAGGATTATCAGGATTTCCAGCCCAGTTTACCTGTTGAAGAGATAACCCAATTTTAGTTATCAGGTTGCCAGTAGCGAGAAAATACTCGAGACCTCTTGTTATTTCCGGATTATTACTGCCGAGAGCACGGAGGACTTCATTCCTGAACTAAACAATTAAGGAATAGGGATTTGAAGACCAATCAAGTATTAATATGGGAACATGAGACTTACGAAGTTAGAACAAAACTGTCTTTCTTACGCTTAGCATTATATTCAAGCTTGCGGCGAACTATTCCAAGGATATTTTCCATTCGCTCTCGAATAATCAACAGAATGATGTGACCAGAAACGGCGGCTTCCTGAAACCGAATAATTTTAATCGTCATTAATAATAATGTAATGGGCACAAGTAATGTAGATGTAGGAAATAATCAAAGAATCTCTAAAAGTCTGGTGAGATTTATGCACTTAAATGTAACGCTAATACATTGTAAAAGGACAATGAAAAGCAAGGTTAGTACATTGCAGTAATGAGATGAGCAAAGTAAAATATTCTCGATGGCACCCTTTTTCGCTTTGTGGTCGCGTGGGACTTGGGACTAGTGATTGTGCGAACGCCGCCGCCTCACCTTAGAACAACTCGGTGAATTCTGTATTGCAAATGAACAAAAACATGAATAATTCGAAGTAATTTTAGTAATAGACAATAATCAAAGGTTATCTAGGTGTATTAAAACAGCACACTGATAAAACACAGTACCGTATAGTGACAATAAAAGAGCAAAATTTATCAGCTTTCGTTGCAACAGACATCAAAAGCATTGCCACTCCGACCGTTTTAGTGAAACAAGTATCTGACCATCTGCAGACCTTTATGTTTATTTCTAAATCTCCTTTCATTCACACGTTTGTGCGACTTAAAAGAAAAAGATGAGTGAACCAACAAAAAAGTACTTTAAGTTATAATTAAGAGTTATGCATTAGTCCATAAATATGTTGTAGATATTGAAAAATATCTAAAAAAAATTGCGATTGGCAGGCTATTATCAGCCGGCAAGCCTTATGGGCTGCCATCGTCCCACGAGCCCGCATCCCTGGCAATCATTTGGGCTGCCACCGGCGTGGAAGGGTTGAGTATTAAATAAAGCTTATTGTTAGTCGGTGAGAGAAAAGAGTGAGTAATGAACTGAAACAAGCAATTAAGGTCTA